TATACATATAAATATAAACGTTAGTATTGGACAATAATTGCAAAGTAAATCAACCGTACTGAATGGGATTGCCTAATTATATTAATTTATGTGAAACAGGTGAACAAGTAATTTTATTACATATACAGTAACATTCTCTTTTACATCTTAAAAAAATGGGACATACTATAACAAAGCCTAGTAAAGGTGTAATAACTGAAACCTCAAATAAATGCGATGAAGAAACCTATCTAAAATCCCTTTCGGTACTTGAAGCCTACCGATTTATTCAAGGTCGAAAATCTTGTTTGGCACCGAATGTCTCTCTTGCTCTTCCACGTGATAATGAGGAGGCCATACGATTTAATAAATCTATTAGACTTAAAAAAATTATTTTTGGGTCTAATTATTCCGCACCTGTTTCAGAATTATTAACATGTGGGGGTGCAAAAGTACTTGAAATTGGGTTAGCAACAGTCTTTGCTAAATTTTATCTGATGTGATCCATTTTAATAAATATCTATTATTTATAGAACGGGTGGTGGACTTTGGCTAACCTACATGTCAAACGAATACCCAACGTCAATCTTTTTGGGTTTAGACGTTACTACTATATTTAATCCTGTAAACAGTTTAAAAATATTTTGTAAAGTTTTAACTAATTATAAAACTTTAGCTGAATATTAAGATTTATTTTTCTTTTTAGGACCAATTACCGGAAAATAGTGCATATCTTGAACATAACTATCATGATGGGATTCCGTTCCCCAACGACGTGAGATCTTAATAATATTTTTTTAAAATACGTTTTTATTTTTATTTATTTTTATTTTAAAATATTTTATTTTTATTAAACTATTAGACGTTTGATTTTATATTACAACATACAGTGTCTGCAAAATTTCGTGAGAATTTATTTAGAATTCATTTGGCACGTTTAATTTCATTATTAGGGTTTCTATTGCTTTTTTTCTTTTTTTACTGCAAGCAAAAATTCATTTTTATTAAATAAATAAAATAAAATAGAGTGAAATGTGTCGTGCTCTTCGACCAGGAGGCTGGATGGAGGTTAGAATTTATTTTTAATAAAATAAAATAAAAAATACATACTAAATAATTCTTAATAGATATATGGATCTCCTACCGAAATTATTGGTGCTGGTCCTGCAACACAAAAATTTATATTATCAGGTAATTTTTTTTTTTTATAAAAAAGTGATCTAGTGATTTCATTTTAACTTTTCAAATTCGCGATTGTTCTTAAATAGTTCGGAAATGCCTCCAAATTAATGGACCAACCCTGATATAGCGTGCACTATACCAGAGAAATTAAGGTCCATGAATTTCAAAAATATTCAAATAGTAGAAAAGCCACTTCCTCTTTCACGTAACAAAATTAATGACCAAGTAAATTATATAATATATATATATATATATTAAATCTATACCATAAAATTCTAATTTTTTTTTTAAAAAAAAAATTTATAAATAAAATAAATGAAGATAGAGGATGAGCTTTTGCTTAGAACTGTAGAGGCATTCAGAGTGATAATGAAGGTAGCAATAGGGTGTACCGATGAGGAGTATGATAAATTAAAAAGAGATATTACGTTAGAGGCAGAAACTCTAGAGATGTATATAATGGCCATGAGAATTTTTTTTTTTTTTTTTTTTTTTTAAAGAGAGGTCTATCCTCTATCTCTTTTATTAATAGTTGATTATACATATA